TCAGGGATCAGGCTTGGTTGCCTGTGATTGGGTGATGTAATCACACAGTAACGGTCAGTAGCTTGTAACATTACCTTTTGGCAAGTAGACTGGTCCACCTAGAAAAGATGGTTAATAACCTCTGTTTGGCAGCTACTGAAATCTGATATGTGCAAATAAAATACAGTATATTAACCAAACCCCTGCATGCTGTGTGTTTTCACTATTTCTTGCCTGCACCCAGAGACGCAGCAACTCAGTGCAGATCACAACAACCCTAACCCTAACAGTTAGGTCTCCTTGATTTTGTAATAAGACTGGAGGTACATGGCTGCCGGACAGAAATAAATTCTTATGCCTGCGATAAATATGACAGGAACAAGTGAGTATTCCTTGACATTTCGAGAGGCATATACAGTATCATGGAGGTATAATCGGAAACATATTATAGTAGTGCCAAATGATTAAACAATTGTAAGGGCTTTTGGTGTCTGTCTTCCTCCTGACATACTCTGCCACGGGATATTAAACTGGTTTGTTTCTGTGTGTCATTAGTCCAGTAAGAAGGTGCTGACAAGGTGATGATGATGATAATTTAAAATATCAGTATGTTTAATATTTTGTATGAAAACCTTCTATGTATTTTACTCTCTTGTCAGCTACACTTATGAAAAACACTGACAGGGAGAGCACCCCACCAGCTGGTGTGAACCTGTTACTACAAAATATCACACAGGCTGGATCCCTTACTGTGAACCAATCCCTTTTCCCATATTGCTTATCGAAATAATCCCCAGCTGTGGATATGTGAGGAGTTTGACAGTTTTATTATAGTTCGAATATTGGTGGGGTTTTGTTATGGACCGTGGTTTAATACTGCAACTGAGAAAAAGATGTAGATTATGATCTTTTTCACAGTAGAGATTGCGACTTGTCACAAGTCAGTCTGTACTGTGAAACAAGTTTAAAATATTAGGTCTTTCTGTTGATATTCTGTCAAAATATCTCACATATTTGTTAAAGAGGGGGAAAAATTGTTACTGATATACTGTGAACTTCTTCATTTAATTAAACTTTCACGGATAGTGTGAGTAATAATTACATTAGCTCCAATAAATTCAAAAGCCCCGATCTTAGTTTTGGTAGGTATTACAACTCAGCTGAAATAAAACACATCTGATTTTAATAGCTTAATTCTGAAAAGCTTATTTTTGCTGTCTACTTATAATTGAATTGATTTTATTAGGAACATTGCTAATGAACATTAGAGAAGTCTGGGCACAGACATTCCGCCCCACCACTAACCTGATGTTTACTATGTATCTCTATTTGCACATAATACAACACAATAACAACTGGTACTCCATTACTACTTTATTAAAAAATAACATTTAATACGCAATGATACAACACTGTACAGTAGAGTGTGTGTGCAGGGGAAGCCAAGGTGTCCCAGAGAAGACTAAGTGAGTGAAGGGCTACTGGTCAGCTGTGAGGACGTGCTGTAGTATCTCATGCTGCATTCATCACATAACTTTGTGATCTAAGCTCAAATACACTCTTACGTTATATTTTATTAAGCTAATCTTTTTCCAAGATACTCAAATGCAGCTTGTTTCTTTCTGCAGGTATGGACAGATTCAACAGGAAAACTCACAAACCCTGAGTTGCTGACTTTTACAGTTGTTTTAAGTCAGGTGCTAATATTTCTGGTATGCTCTCATGTTATGTATGCAGCTTTAGTCCTGAGGAGAAATGTAACTAGGCTGGGATCTACTGTTCAGGGGTGGCAGTCCAAATGACTCCATGACCAGTTATCACTTGTGAAAATCAGCCACAGCTGATACCACTCTAAAAGATGCCACACATGTGAATGACCACTGTGCTGGAAACGCAGGTAAACACAATTCGTTGCAGACTAAGACCCCTGAAGAAAACAAAAAAACTACAGACAGGTTCAGCTAATACTGTATGGCCCTATTAGAGACTAAACCTCTGCAACGACTTGGACAGATGCCATAGTGCATGTCATTGACAAAAAGACACCACAAGATTCCTAAATGCATGGTAGATCAAGATTAGTGGTATTTTACAGAATATCCTATTATTTCACTAAAGAGTAGAGCAGTGTCACAACAGATTTGCCCAAATTTCAGTGGACAACATGAAACACCAACTATGTGAGATGGCAGTGTTTAGCTGTGCAACAATGTAACAGCACTGAGAGGAAAAGGAAGCTGTGAGAGATAAAGATGAAAAAACTGAGGTAAGTGCCAGATCAAACTGCTGCTTGTAAATCAGTCAAGCCCATGGCTGATTTGATCATATTTATAAATTGCTACATTAAAAAAAACAACAGTGGCAGTAGAACAAGCCAGATAGCACACAGGCTTTACTTGTCAGGCCATAGTAACATATAGTAACTGAGAAAATGGAAAATGGAGATGATTTCATGTTCGATCCTAAAATAACGCTCACATTTGCAAATTTTAAACTTATGAGTTTGAAGTAACAAACCATGACCATGCTGAACATTGTTGCTTTTATTAATGCATCTCTATTTCAAGGCATGTGTGGAAGACTTCATCATGCTAATAATGTGACTAAAGAAAGGCTAGATTATTCAGAAAGGCTAGCTAATAACTCAAACTGCCTTAAGAGTTTTAATACTCAGTGACAAGTACAAAATTAAGTAAATGACATACTAAACTGGCTAATACAAATTCTAGGGCATGTTTAAGCATTAGGTTAACATTTAAAAAAAAAAGCCAACACCCTCTAGGAGTTGCTGAATCCCTAGGTTTTGGAAGAAAAAAAAAAAAAGGTTAATCTTAATTAGAGATGCACTGATCACTTGGTGGAGATCGGAAACGGCTGGTTTTCAGAGTGATCGGCCAGTCACTGGTCAAGGCCTGTCACTCTGATGATTCTGTGCCAATCAGATTTAGGCTCCACAGTTCAAGCTGAGTCTGCACCTTGAGCGAGGCTCACACTCGTGTGTGTACCGGGCACGTGTTCAGTGCACAGAGGGGCATACAGAAACATCTTGGAGAAGGGGAAACTGCATCCAAATCTCCAACAAAGAATACACAATGAGGGAATTACTGGCTAGACAAGAACACATGTATATGTACAGTGTATCCAACCCATGGTAAAACACTGCAAATACAAACTACACAGTCTTCAAAAAGAACTGTGTGCTCAGTAGGACTGATGCAACAGACATTCTTCTGTTTCTAGTATCAGTTGCACCTGTTTATGTTTGGAGAAGTACAAATATTGCACTTCATTTTTAACAAACTAGTGAAAGAGAGAAAAGTAAAAAAAATTTCATTAAAGAAAAGTTACAAAAATGTTTGTGTATCCTGTCAAATATAGTTCTTATAAATAAGGAAAATCAGATTTGGCCAAAATCGAAATTGGCATATGATTCCCAGACTGGGATGTTTAACTTGCATCATTGCCCTGAGAAATATGTTCCCTCACGGCTGTGGGTCTGGAGATGCCTTTTGATTTTGTCTGAGCGGCTGAAGCACTTGCCACACACAGGGCAACTGTATGGCTTCTCCCCCGTATGGATCCTCATGTGTACCTTCAGGTGAGCCATTTGTGTGAAGCCCTTCCCACAAATCTGGCAGCGGAATGGTTTTTCTCCTGTGTGGCTACGCTGGTGCTCTTGGAGTCTCCCGGAGGAGCTGCAGCATTTCCCACATACCCCACAGCGGTAAGGTTTTTCCCGTGTGTGCACTTGTACGTGCACATGCAAGTGGCCGATATGGCTAAACGCCTCACCGCAAACCTTGCAGCAGAAAGACGACATGTGGCCTTGTAAAGGAGATTTCTGAATGGGGCAGTCCACGGCATTAGTGCCCTGGTTGCGCATGTGAGAGACCTGTCCTCTGTTAGCTCCAGTTCCAGCTCCCTTAGCACCAACCATCTGTCCTCCATTCTCCACCCCAATAATGTCTATGTTGTTCTCATTTGAGCAGTTTGGGTTGACTGGCGCAAGAGGCTGAACACTGCTGTTGGAGGAAGAAGAGTCTCTGTGGCCTCCTCCACTCTCTGCCTTTACGTTCCTTGAGGGGCCCCGAGGTCCAACATCCCTCTCCCTGTTCTCCACACCTTGATTCTGAGGGAGGCTGGATGTGTGAGGGCCATCCTGGGGATATTCATTTCCAACACGTGGAGGAGTGAACATGTTTTCTGGTGTGCTGCAAGAGCCGTGTCCGCAAAGCTGATCCTCTCCTTGACTGACCCGGAGATCTCTTTTATCCTTTATCTGTACAGGAATGCGCTCTTCATGCCCCATGCTGGGACTCCACTCACGTCGTGGATGCTCGCCATCCTCCTCCTCCAACAGCGCCATGGAAGGACGATCTGAAAATAACAAGAAGAGGCTCAGCTGAAAATAGTACGTATATACACTGCAGCACACACAACTGCATCCATGGTACAAGTTCACATCTGGTTAGAATTTCATAGTTTGTTTATGAAGCTTGTATTTAAATATCAAATTTTACTTAGTCCTCAAAATGGAAGCTATTCATTTACAGGCATTTTTCCATCAAAAAGAGCAAAGAGATTAACTCCCTGAGTTAACTAAGTAACAAAAAGAAAAGAAGGTTGTTAATAGAAATAGCTCAGCTTCGGTAATACACAACATGCCTAAAGTTGGAGATCTGAAAAACTACCCAAAACATGGCATATGCATTCATGGATACAAGATACCAGTCTAACAACAATGATATGAAACTTCCTAAGCAAAAAACCATGTCTCTCATTTTTCAGTGAGAATTATTGCTTTACTTTATAAAACATGTATCGGGTTTCATGTAGTTAAAGCCCTCTTAATATCAGGCAAGGTGGCCCATGTCTACTATAAACCAATCTGCAAGACCTTGAATAAATATATAGACAAATATTCAATAACACTATACGTGATGCATATATATATAAAAGTATCCCCCCCGAACCTTTTGTATTCTATAACATTCATTCCCAAGAACTAGGGTTTTTGACACTACTGACAAAAACACACTGTCAACTGAAAGTGTAAGAAAATAACATTTTTACAAATGGATTGAAATTGAGAATTTACAATCATAATAATTAACAGCACCTTTACCATCACTTTGGCATGTTTCAGCAACCACTGTGGATCTGTGCGTTTTAAAATCGGAGTAAACAATGCTCACTAATACAATGACTTTCAGAACGCACACAAGCATTCAAGTATAGTTAGCTTAGTGCTAACCGAGATTTCGACCAGTCTGCTAACCTAGCTGCTAACCTAGCTGGCTGGCTGGCTAACGAACAAAGGTTGCTAGTGTGCTAGTCGCTCCACAACAACGGGTAATGTCAGCTAGCTCGCTAACGGCCAAAGTTTACTTGCTTGGAAGTGCAGCAATAGTACTCTGACATTCCTATATTATCATATTTGTACTGCACATTTCCATTACATTACATAATACCATCTCAGTCTTAGCTAATAGGATATAAAGGGTCGCAGCAGCACCGCTAGCTTTCAGCACAGCTAACCTGGCCATATTTCAATTCCAGCGTCTCGCAGCCTGCGTCTCAGATGGTCATTCTCCCTCTCCCTGATCGCTATCTCCTCCTGGTACTCTAAAATCGTGTCCTCGACTGACTTATAAATCTCCTGCGCAGCAAGCATGAGTCGCTCAGTCAAAAAGACGTTTAAAAACTGCAATTTGGTCATTTTCTTGGGTTGCGCGGAGCTTATGCGGTCATCCAAAATGGACCAAAAACATGCACGACCTAATCACGTGACCCGGAGTTATTATTTCTCCTTCTTCTTCTTCGTCTTCTACTAATACTATTATATCTTCCCCCTTAGATTTTCTGTGACTCATCAGTACTGACATTATTAATTATTATTATTATTATTGTTTTTTCTTGTCACTGAATTTTACACGTCACAAATAGCTCACACCAACGTCGAAATGTTGCAACATAAAGTGCCAGTGTTATAGGCTACTAATGTGTGTCCTAATTATGTGAGAGCTGTTCGCCATATGGCTGCGCATTGTAGTGGTGGAAAGTAAATACATTTTTGAGATAGGCTTATCTATAAGCCTACTTTACTTGAGTATATCCATTTTCTGCTGCTCCACACTTGCAACTCACTACATTCTAGAGGCATAATGAATACTTTTACTTATGGTACCTTAAATATATTTTGATGCTAATATTTTTGTACTTTTCATTTTCAAAATTTTGAATGCTGAAATTTAACTTGTAACAAAGTACAATAACTTATTCAGTTGCACTATAGTATGGCTACTTTTACTTAAGTACAGAATCTACTTTGGATACTTTATAAAGATGAAAACAGTGATGCTGGGCACATAAATACCATTCTCAAAGCAGATTCCTGCACCAGGCCTATGTTATTCTTTATTAGAGAATTCAATTGTAACTACGAAGACATAAAAAACAAATTTGAAATAGTTTGGCAATGAGCTTTCTAGATGAAAGAAAAGTTAGAGTTAAGGTATGTTAATTAAAATAATGTCTTACAGGTGGTTCTCACTTTTTAAAGCAAACACAGAAAAGTGAACACCCTAATCTAAACATATTATTGCCTGAAGCCTAAACAAAAACAGTCTCATATGAAAACGTGCCATCTGAGTAATAGTCCCAAATATAAACCCCAGTATATAAATATAAACCCTAAAGCCACTTAATACACATAGGGCCTCCACATCATAGATACCAACACTGCAGTATATGAGTTCAAGAGGTCTTTTTATTAATGAAAAGATTAATAAGGAAATTACAGTAGCATGAGGTACTGAGACATCGAAATATAAAAACAAGAAACACATACTAAATGTGCAATATCAAAATTAACAAGTACTAAAAATAATTAGTATAATTACGATGCAATGAACGCAAGCGAGGATCGTTATATACATGTGTCAGTACCGTAGCAGACACCGAAATATAGTAAGCAGTGAAATAAAAAAAATGCCATTTTGTTAAGTCATTCATCCTCCAGCCCAGCAGGTGGGGCAACACAAACTGCTCTCTCACAGCACAGCGGAAGTGACCCTCAAACCTGAGTACTCTTCCACGTGCGAGAGCTTTTCAGTCACATTGGCAGTTCGACAACTCAAGGATGAGGCGACCGAGTAAGTAAACTAGCGTTATGCGTCAATATACGTGCTTAAGAAAAACCATTTAAGACATTGTTGATCTGTTAATCCACCTAATTAACAAACTAATGGCAATCATTGCTAACAGCCAATAGTGCAGCATTGGTCAGATTGTATTAGCTTCGTCTTTAGCTTGTTAGGTATTTAACCAACCTTTAACTTTTTTGTCTTTAGAGTTGAAGAAAGCAAGTAAGCGGGTGTCGTGTGCCAAACGTTATAAAATACAGAAGAAGGTCAGTGTCTTAAATTTGAAATTTTAAAGCTCATTTACCTCATGCATTTAGATAATCCTAACATGCCTCTATGGACGATTAGGCCTGTGTAAACGAGACAGATTTGTTACTGCTACTCAAAATCCTGATTTCTTTGACTAATTTTAATGTCTACAAGAAAACGAGTTAACTTAGGTGCTGGTGCTTGGTATTTAGGTCCGGGAGCACAACAGAAAACTGAAAAAAGAGGCGAAGAAGAAAGGAGTGAGCAAACGAGTGAAGAAGGATCCCGGAGTTCCCAGCAGTGCTCCTTTCAAAGAGGAGGTCCTCAGGGAGGCAGAGGAGAGGAGGCTACAGGTTGGCTGTTCTTATTCACTTCATCACAGCTGATACCTTGCATTAATGCTGCATCAGTCTCCAGACTGATGTTTGTATCTCCCATTATAAGACTGTGGCCAGAAATTATGTTCACCTAAATATTTGTTTTGGGAAACAGGGTTGGACCATGTGCTTATGTATTCTTGTTATAATAAAGTATTTTTATAGTCTCTCCTGTTTTTATAAACAAAATCTTGTCTCATAGATTGAAGAAGAAAAGGAGAGAAAGAGACAAGCGAAAAAAGAGGAGCGAGCCCAGAAGAGGAAGAAGGAGAAGGAGGATGCAAGTAAAGAAACAGAACCCAAGGCCAAGAAGGCTCGGCAGGTAAACACTACAATGATCTGTGAAATCAGATTTGAATCTATTTACACCTGACTGACCTTCTTCTTTTCAAAATTTGTGTCTCATTTACATAGGATGAGAATGGAAAGCATTCAAAGAAGCAGACTACCCAAGATAAGAGCTCTAAACAGTTCCTTTGCTCTGAATTAAATAAGGTAGGACACCCCAGGCCTAGTCAGTGTGTCCCTGTAGAAAGAAATGGCTTTAATGCTCAGTCTGACCCCCTCCAGGTAATTGATGCATCTGATGTGATAATAGAAGTCCTTGATGCCCGTGATCCACTGGGCTTCAGGTGTCCACAGCTGGAGGAAGCTGTGCTGCAGAGGGAAGGCAACAAGAAACTGCTTTTGGTTTTAAACAAAATAGGTAAGGGGGCATGAGATATTACCATATTAATTTATAGCAAAATGTGCACTGTGTTTGGTATGTTGTTAAATTTGAATGCGAAATTGATTGTTTGCACTCTAAGTCAGGGTTTTCTGTGTTGTAGATCTGGTACCAAAGGAGAATGTGGAGAGGTGGATACAGTGTTTACAACAGGAGTTTCCAGTTTTGGCATTCAAAGCATCAACACAGATCAAGGACAGAACAGTGGTAGGACATGCATTTTACACATCAGTGACTAAAAGCAAACAAGACTTGCATATTATAATGCTTTATATGGCACTGTTTAGCTAACCAACTCAGTGTCTGGAAGCATTTGCCATCCTTTGTTTTGACTAGATACTTTTGAGTTAAATGCTTCTAAATCCTGTTTTGTTTCCATTCACATTTTTGAGTCACATTTTAATTCCACCTAAAATCTGCAGGAGATTAACTATAAATTGAAGAAGGATTTTGGCACAGTATCAGATTTTTAACTTGAGTACAAAAGTGTGAATGTTTTATGTTCAAATTCATGCCCATTCTTGGCTGAGACAAGCAGCCATCTTTTTATAACTATTTCATCAAATGCAGATGCGTTAGATTTGCTTGATTCCTGAGAAGTTACTGCTATTAATGCTGTGCATTGATATGTACATCATGGAGGATTGAGAAGGTTGAGCAGCTTGTTTTATGCTGTTGTAACTGGTTATAACCTCCAAGAGTAACCAACAAACCACAAAATTAAGTGGCTCTGTCATAAGCAGAGCTGGTGTTTGTGCGTTTGTGAACAAAACAAACTGGTAAAATATTTTCCAGTGCACGCACACTGTATTAATAATTGCAGCAATAAGAAGGCGATTCAGCTACTTCACATTCAAGTAAAACAAACGAATAAGGGTGAAATATATGACTGGAAAAGTAGTTTTTATTTTTCTCTCTGTTTCTGTTTTATTACATGCTTGGAATTAATAAAAAAAAAAAAAAACTCAGTCACAAAAAGCAGAACAATGCAGGTGAAACATGAATGAAGCCAGTCATATTGACTCGTCACAGCGTGGCTGCATCCCCAACCAACGTGCACCGTGCATTAAAACACAGTAGGGAGCTGTGTTTATGCTGAACATATTGTCACACTCTGTCATCACACCCCTACAAACAAAAAAATGTTTAATTTTATTTTTCCGGCTCTGTCTTCATCAGCAAGCCAAGAAGAGCAGGATAGTGGCCTCCAATGAAGTCCTGGACAGATCCAGAGGAGCAGCATGCTTTGGAAAAGACTGTCTCACTGAACTCCTCACGAGTTACGCTGCTAACAGACAGAGCGAAGCTTCACTTAAGGTGGGCGTAGTTGGTGAGTACAGCTTTTCTCCTTCTTATGCTGCTATGATATAGATGTACGATGACTTTTCTGTTCAGTTCAGCACACAGTCTGAATCTTCATCTTTGACACAATTCTGTTTCACCCCTAGGCTTTCCTAATGTGGGGAAGAGCAGTCTCATCAACAGCATGAAGGAGATCATGGCCTGCCACACCGGTTTCAAGAGAGGCATCACAAAGTGAGTGACAAACATAAAAATAGAGTACCTCTGAGCACAGTTATAGCATCTTTTCTTAGATTTGCATCATATTGCATATTTAGCAGAATGTCCTATTATAGCTTTGACTCATCGGGTGCATTACTGGTTATATTCCAGTTGTAATTAGCCTGTGCTCTAATTTTACCTCTTACAACCATCCCCAGATCCATGCAGGAGGTACACATCTCAAAGAATGTGAAGCTAATTGACAGCCCAGGGGTTGTGGCATCACCATCTAACCCGCTGGCCTCTTTGGCTTTAAGGAGCCTGCAGGTGGAGGAGGGCGAGGAGAGTGTGTTGGAGGCCGTCAGGACTCTGCTCAAGCAGTGTGACAAGACCCAGGTGGGAGGAGTTTGCATAGCAGGAGAGATGTTATATAATGTGTTTTTAGACATTGGATGGATGGATAGAGAGGTGTTTTGTCTCTCAGGTCATGTGTTCTCATTGTTTTAGGTCATCCTCCAGTACAATGTCCCCGACTTCAGAAACTCTCTGGAGTTTTTAACCTTGTTTGCCAAAAAGCGAGGTTATCTGCAGAAGGGTGGAGTCGCAAATACTGAGCATGCAGCTGCCGTTTTCCTTGCTGATTGGACAGGGTCAGTGTATTTTCCTAAAGGGTTGGGAAGGGTTGGCCAGCTACACTGCATGCATCATTGTGGAAATGAGGATAAAATGCAATTCTGGATTTCATTTATGAAGACTTCTAATCCAACTCTGATCCTGGATAACTGCAAGCACTGTGTCAGAGTAGGGAGTGTACAATGTCTTGTTTTGCTCAAGCCGCTGAAGTCTTTGGCACTGGTTTGGTGTTTCCTCAGAGCCAAGCTGAGCTACCACTGTAAGGCACCAGCGAAGAACAGTCGCCCTGCATATCTGTCTGACACCGTGGTTGCTGAGATGCAGGATGGCTGGGATCTAAACAGACTGAGAATGGGCAACGAGAAAACTCTGAAAGGTACAGGTGTTGACCACAGTGTACAACTCGGAAATACAGTAGCATCAACTGACTTCCTTTGCATAGGGTGTAAAGAGCAACATGGGGTCCATTCCAAGTCTCTATATTATAAACGTCATTTCCCTCACTTGTCTTTTCCTTGTCTTAGTCCCACCCATGTAAGATGCAAAGAAAATGTGAGGAAAGGAGTCAAGGAAATGCTTTATTAACGACATGAGACATCCTTTGCTCAGATCCATCATCTGACGTCAAATCACCAACTAGTTTCTGATAAAGAGGCATGTCAGTTCATAAAAAACCTCTGCAAAGGATGGTCTCATGTATTCTCAGTCATGGCTCCTCCAGCACCATCCTCAGTCCTCAGAGCTGACATGAGAGACTTGGAACATCCTACATCCTCAGTCAACCGGAACGACTTTGGGTCTGCTGAGGACATAGGAACGATCTTATACGAGACATGAAAGATCTACCCATGGCCTCTTGGGGGCACCAGTGGCTGTTTAGTCTCCAGATTTGTCAATACAAAATAAATTATGTGGTCATTTCTGTGTGTTCTGTAGGTGTTAAATGCCCAAACCAGGCCAGCAGTATAAGCTTCATCTCCAAAGGCATGACTGCAGGACTGCTGAGCATCAGTGACATCTCTGAAAACAGACCTGGTGCAGCAGCCACAGATGGTGAAACTGTGTGTGAGAATGAGGAGGTAACTATAGATAGAAAACTGGCAGACAATAGAGTGGCTTCAAATAATGCCAGGAGTCTGGTCTCGCAGAAATGAGGACAAAAATGCAAGTCTTAATTTGATTATGAAGACTTATAATCCAACTCTGATCCTGCTGGCTGGACTTGGTTTTACTAAAATCACACTGTGTACCTTGAGGATTGCTGGAATGTAAGTAGTTGAAACATCTGTTCTTGCAGCCTGAACAATCATCCAAGGAGACACATGAGGGGGAGAAATCTCAGAAGGCACAGGTGGCGTTGCTCAACAGTAGGTTTTATCTTTTGTTCTGTTCTGCATTACTAAAATCTACACCATTAGGTCATATTTTTACATCTGACTATGTCTTTGCAGAAAAGCCCAGCAAGGTGCAGTTCCACTCTGTGCCCATTGACATTAGCTTGTCTACAGCTACAACAGATGACGCCTATGACTTCAACACAGATTTTAAATGAGCTTTGGCATCGTGTTGCTTCTCAGCTAATGCAGACCTGGACTTGTCAACATACAGTATATGACAACGGTGAGACAGTAAAGAATCACTGTCTGGGTGCCTTTGACCATTACTGTCCTACTAGCTGAAGGATTTCAGACTAGACTTGACTTGAGCTAGTTGTTGGGTCAATGCTTAAACTTGGGACAGGGGCAGAGAGAAGGACTATTATTTATCTGTTAACACCATAAAGTTGGGTTGTCTTGGGAGTAATCCCTGGCCAAATGTCATTTGTAAAAGCTTGTGCTCAAGCAGAACACTGTATATACTAAAAAGTCATAAACCTTCTAAATGTTTTTTCTGAATGTATTTTTCAAAAACCATGAACAGTCTGAAAATAGCAAATTGAATAAAGTACCAGGTTTAATACAGATAACTGGAAAACAAACTTTAAATGATGAAAATGTAAGTTTTATTTAATATACTATTCAAAATGACATTTACACAAAAAAATGACATTTACAGGAAGATCTAGAAAAGTCTTGACAATGAATGAAGGCCTGATGATTCTGGGCCACTGACCTGACTATGATAAACTGGAAAAAGTGTAATTTAGAATAATGGTTTAAAATGGACCAACAATGTTAGTGTTTGAAAAACTAGACTGATTAGTAATCATATTTACAGATAAGTAAAATAAAATTCACTATTTTCCACAGGAAGTATTGAATTGAGGTAACGATGTGAGGCATCTGCATGGCTAATATGACCGACTGAAGTGATAACTCGGAGCGGAACATGATTGAAGCTGTTAAACTGCAAGCTGTTTGACTGCTATACTATACCATTACAGCTGAGATTAATTGTATAAAATAATTTAGTCTGCAAAATGAGTCATGACCTATCTGCATGTAAAAGGTACCAAATGATGCACTCACTGATGCCCTTGATAATGCAGCTTAGTTGGTTATGTACATGCATTATAGTGACCTGGCTGTCACAAGGTGTCTCAATGCTGGCTAGGACTGATGCATCAGTTTAGGGACACTCCCTTTAAATTCAACACCTCTGAGTATACATATTGTAGGAAAATACAGACCGCATCTTTAGCAAAACAGTCTACAATTTCGGAATGGTCTCAGTCAAAAATGTCAAGGGCAACATGATGCACTGGGTATGGAAACAGGTCAGTTCTGAGTATTCATGAGACTGAGACTGCACAGGTTTACATGTTAGGAGGGTTGTGTGGCAGACCTCAAATACAGGGCTAAAAAGTGAAAAAGCCTTACATAGTTCCTGAGATATGTGGCATGGTCCTGCTGTGACAGGGCTGACTTAGTTCATCCAAAAGTTTTTCAGTCTAGTTGTCTGTCCCCTGCATGTTTGCGCACAGGATGAAATTTTCCTGTAGGGTCTGGAATGAACCACTTGTCCCACACGTCCGAAAAAGAGGAGGTTCTCCCCCAAGGCTTATAGTGTCCATTCCAGTGGAGGAGTTTGGCAACTTTTACAAACTGTGGGGAGTAGCGGTTTCCAGCACCTGTAGTACCTAAAAAAAAAAAAATAAATAAAAATTTTGTTACTGTTTAAAATTTTACATTTATGTCATGCTGCTTATTTGGCATAAAAACATTCAAATCGAGCAGGAATTTCTGGTATTATTAAAAATATGCAACCCAAACATGATTTCTATAACACTAATGGAGTTATGTAACTTGAAAACTTGCATCCTTCACAGAGAGCAGAGCTTCCTGTAAGTCATTTGTGATTTCTGGTACAGTTAATTAACTGAATGATATTTAAAAGTATGTTAAAGGACTCATTCAGCAATTTGGGAAATACAGTTGTTCAATTTCTCACTGAGAATTAGATGATAAATTCCAAACCACTCTTGCATCTCTAGATTAAATATGAAGCTGCAGCCTGGTTAGCTTTGCCAGCCATCTCAGTGTCAAGAATGGAAGCAGAGGGGAAATGTTGAACTCATTCCTTTAAAACCCATCTCAAGCTACTCATGCAGCATGTCCTTGTTATATTTGTATGCCCAGTTTTGTAGATATGTACAGTGTATGTGGAAGTATCACACATACACTACCTCACAGAGAAACAGTACTTGCCCAGGGTTGTCCAATTGTAAAATCAACCGGTAAAATGTTTGATTGCAAAAACCAAAAATTCTCTATTGTTTCTTAACAGTACCTAACCAGAGCTTACCAAGGTGCCTGATGTGCCACATGGGGTCAATGGTGGAGTGACGTTTGTAGAAAACAATGAGGAGTGGGGGGGTAACGATGCTCTCTGCCAGCGTTTTACTGTACAGATCCTCCCTAGGGAAACAAATAAAAAAAACAAAACAGATTAAGTTCAATGAATTACAATTTTGTTCAATTACATTAACAGGGAACTGATCCTATTTTTTTTTCTTCCAGTTGCCTTAATTTTGCAAAGGAGACTCTCATATCCACCTGTCATTTCACCATTACGAGTAACATACTGTGTGTTGCGCTCCATCCAGTGCTCCAGCTGCTGGGTGATGTTTTGGTTCTTCCATTCAGTCAGATTGGCGATGATGACTCCGGGGTTGAAGGAGCATGTGCTGGCTCTCATCCCCATCTTCTTGATAGCCTCCTTTTTAAAGTCCAGAAAACCTATATAGTTAATCTGTTGAAAAAAAAATCATTATTTGTCTCCATATTCTATGAAGAATATCTCACTTTCAGATAATACATTACATTTATTTTACATAATTAAAAAAAACACCCAGCTCAGACAAAAGATGTCCACCTGTTTCCCAGCCCCTCGGATGATGCCCTTCGCAGATGCTGAGTCACAGTCATCTGAAAAGGCAGCTGCATGTCCTGGTTTGAGGTTGGTTTCATAAAGCTCCTGAATGTCCCCTGTGATCCAACAGTAAAGGCAAAATCTATTAACTCGTTTCTAGACGGTTGGTGTTTTTATTGTTAGAACATTTGTTTTTATTGTTAGAACATTTCTTTTAGTTTATAGTAAAACAGTATTCATTAGGTTTATGTCCATGGTAATTCTCTTCCTTTATGGCGGTGTCTCACCTTGTACAATGATATCATCATCCAAATAGATGACCTTCTCTGCCTCTGGCATGTATGCAGGCAGATAAAACCTGGCAAAAGTCAACTAAAGAAAATCCCATTAAAACATGCTTTATGACAAACATACCAAGGTAGGCACTAGCGCAAATATCTGTTATGGAACAAAGACAGTTTTCTCACCGGTTTTGCAGCCTCCATGGCCTGAGGATCTTTAGATTGCTTCCCATTAAGAAGCTTGGTCTGGAAAATAACTATCTTGTATTTGACATGTTTTAACTTTGTCTTACTCAGCCACACTCTGATGGTAAATCAAAAACAACAACCACAAAAAAAAAAAAAGCTGTGTCAGACAAAGGTTACTTAAATCAAAACTATCATGATAAATTTCTTTGGTACCTAAAGGGGAAAATACATGAATTAATAAGCCCAAGGAAATATAATGTATGCATTTAGCAGGGCAGACTTATGTCTTACTTTAGGTGACCCACTGTGTCATTCAGGGTCACAATGGTGAAGACTACATTGGCTTTACTGTTCTGGTAGATACTGTTCATAGCAGCAACCACAGCACCAAGTCTCTCCTCAGCAGCAGTGATGACAATAGGGATCTCCTCTCCTTTACCCACTGACTCTAGTCTGAGGTTGGGAGACAACTCAGACTCAAATGGAAGAATCACACCTGCATCTGGATTGAGACACATTTAGGTTTTCACATGTTACTTCCATGATTTCAATATAATTGCACTCAATGTGTCTGTACACTAAAGATTATGAGGAAAATGTGTATCCTACATATAGGTACAGAACAGCTAACACTCTCAACAAAACGATACCTGGATTTTCCTTCTGTAAAAAGTCACTGAAGTTGAGGAGATTTCGCTGAATTATGATTAGGAAGGCCACAGCCAGCAACACAAGGATGATCACGTTTACTGAAAGAAAATGAATCAAAATCAGAATCAGAAGAGTCGGTTGCTTCAGGATTACTCAACCTATTTCTATTTACCTACTGTTTTCTACTCGTACTGTATTGTCTAAACACAATTACATACATGTTTCAGAAATGCATATAAGGAACCATCATCAGAACAGCCTCACCTCTCCTCAGTGTCATGATAACGGCCTCATCCGTTCTTCCAGCCCGTCTGATGAAAAGCAATAAATAAACACAGGTTTAAAAAATCTTAAAGTTGAACTGAGTGGAGCCCAGGATTTATTACCTTGTTGATTAGGGAGGACTGGGGTTAATGTGAAATACTGCTGCACCGCACTGTAACCGCATAAACATACAATAATATCGTCTAAAACGTAGTCGCTTTTAACGTTGTGTTCATATGCTTAAATTTGAAATTTATACCGCGCAGGTGAAGTCGATTCTTAAAAAAAAAAAAAAAAAATAGCACAGCAAAATTGCCACTAAAGCCAAACTGCCAACTCAACATCAAGTTTATACGTGATCACAATTGCACGTAGTAATAGGTTCCCATGTATTTGCCTGTTTAAAAATTGCATTGTTTCGAAAGTACAAAAATGATTACCAATTACTTCGCATTACACATTTATATATGTTAATGATATAAAGTAAGTGTTTTATAAAATATAGGCTCTAAAAGTAGCTTGAAATAATGGCAGGCGGTTATTAAGGCAGCCAAAGCATTCCGCAACCATAATACAAGGATGGGTCCTTTCCAGTACGACGTATCTTTTTAAAACAGGACGTCAACCTGCTTCGGTGTTGGTCCCGATAGCTTCAGATTCTTCCAGTTTATGTCTGATCATTTCAAGTGAAAGATGTTACCTATATTCAAATCAATTCCCACGCACATGGTAAGACTGAATTAGCTAATTCAATATGAGGCTAATCGTCTGTTACATTCATGCATTTCTATTAAGCTAATGCTAACATACCTAACGTTAGCTAGCTGGTCGATGCTGTGATGTGATTAGAGTGATAGCAGCTGCGACATGTAGCTGTGTTTTTACATCGCAGTGTGAAGCCAAAACCAACCAACCAAGTTTTCTCATTCACTGTAATGTTTTACAATTTATCTAAGATGCCAGTAGAAGTTGTTTATCTCTGTGGAAGCTAGACCTTACTGGAAGTTAAATATAGCGTTAGCTTATTGTTGCAGCTCGTGTTTAAGTTATATTAGAGTAGATACTTTCACTAAGTTCGTCCTTTTACTACACTATGGTGTTATTTAACTCACCATTACGTATACTCATGCTACTTTCTGGTGTCATTGGTGTTGTATTTATTAATGATACGTATGATGTCGAATTGTGTTACAGGATTATAAGGGCCAGAAACTGGCTGAACAGATTTTCCAAGGGATAATACTCATCTCTGCGGTAACTAACCGCGACACATGCAAACTAACAACTCTGAGCATCCCACTAGAATGGCATTCTATTTTTATCTGTAGTCGGGTTCACTGATGTCATTTTCCTTTCCACCTTCTTTCCAGGTGATTGGATTCGTGTATGGTCTGATTATTGAACAGTTTGGGTGGACAGTGTATATAGTTTTGGCTGGTTTTGCTCTGTCGTGTGTGGTAAGTGTTTGCTTTATGTTGTCTAATTTATTTATGGCTAATGCAGTTTATGAATGCACAGTGCACCTAAGATAATGAATTGATGTTTCTGTCACAGCAGTTGGCTGTCCCCATATGTTACCATAGATTAGGAGAATTGGATGAAATTCTTGAACACTGGCTCTTTTTTGGTTCCCCCCTTCCCTGTTTGTCTTTGACTTTAGTTGACCCTGCCCCCGTGGCCTATGTACAGAAGGAATCCTCTGTCCTGGCAGCCAGCTCTATCAGAGCCCAGTGGGGAGTCCAGCCAAAAACCTCAGGAAAGTCTCAAGAAGAAGAAGCACAAATAACTCAGAACTATCCCTGCCTGACTGCTAATACATCTTTTTCTATCAAATTTTTTTTTCCAAGTTTGTCTCACAGTTAACATTTGAAGCATTTAGAAAACTTGATTACACTGTATCAGTCAATAATGAAATGTGTGTCTATCTGATATTGGCTATGTTTTATACATGGTGTTTAATTTTTTTTTAAAGATGCATT